CTTGTCCAAGCCACAGGTCGTGTTTCCAGGACAGTTCATTGTTTGTAAGTCACTCTCCTTAGCTGTTCCCAGCTGAAAACTGAAATCCCTTTCAGCTCAAGGACACCTTTCCCCTTTTCTCTCCTTGATCTACTCTTTCCTTCCATGAACTCCACTCTCCACTCTGAAAGTCCTGAATCTATTTCCCACACCTCAAAATGTGGCTCTTAGCTTCCCATGTCTGTCTGATGAGCTGAAATCTTCTTAACATTCTTTTCCAGATCACCACTGGCTCTTCAGCCAAATCCATTCTGCCATTTAGCCCATCCAGACACCTTTAATTTCAACGATCCTATTTGATAAGAACTCTTTTTTACTCTCCTATGGCTCCTCTTTCAAAGCAAACCCTTCATGTTTTATGGAGGAATTATCCTCTCATTGCTCGCTAAACACTAGAAAGTGTCACATTCTTTTCTGTTCCGTGAAGTGTTCATGCTTCCTCAAGGGTTGGCTGTTTTCCTTGAGGGTCACGACTGCTTTTCATCAAGCTCTTGAATGCTTCGGATATCTGGTCATCCTGGGGGTATTTTCTTGTGTTGTGGGAAGATCTGTTCTATCTACTGCAGGCAGTCGGAGTGTGTTGCTTTTGTGGCTATATTGTTTCTGCCTCTCACAGGGCTCCCCCAGGGCGCCTGGCTCGCTGTGCATCACTGAAGATGAGCTCTGCTGATGGACTGTGGGGAGGGAGCTACCAGGGAATCCTCAGTCACTGTCCTGAGCCCCAGGTGACTCTGGAGTATGATGGTTCCCTGTATTTCTGTCTTGGAAGGAGCTGCTGTCTTTTTAAACTTTCCTCTCTTCTCTGTCTTCCACAGGGACTGGGCTGACTATAAGGACCAGCCTCTGTCTCCAGGCCTCTCCAGGCTCGGGGGCTGCTTCCTCCAGAGAGCAGTGTGCCAGCACCAGCTGAAGGTTCTGAGAAGGGCGCCCAAGGACCACTGCGCTAAGCATTTCTCCACTAATCATTCCCGCTATTGGATATTCAATGCCTGCCTTGAAACTTCTCTGGGACCTCCTGGGAAGGCCCGTGACATTCTCCCCATTGCTGTGAGTGAGTCTCTTTGCTCTAGATCCCCACCCCTGGCCCCAAATGCTTTCCCTCTTGCGGGAATCCCTCGACATTCCCTGCTTCCTGAAGATCTTGTCTTTGTTTCTTCTGGATTGTAAAAAAATGGAAACATGGGGCACCTGGGGGGCTCAGTGGGTTGAGCGTCTGACTTCGGCTCAGGTCATGATCTCGCGGTTCGTGAGTTCGAGCCCCGCGTCGGGCTCTGTGCTGACGGCTCGGAGCCTGGAGCCTGCTTCGGATTCTGTGTCTCCCTCTCTGTCTGCCCCTCCCCTGCTTTTGCTCATTCTCTGTCTCTCAAAAATAAACATTAAAAAAATTATTTAAAAGAATGGAAACATGATTTCTATGTCTCAAATATCTGATTTCATACCTTTTGACAGGTAAAGCGTGTTTACAAGAGTGATTTTTATTGTTCTACCAAGTTGCTTCCTCTCTCCAAACCTTTCCTCAACCCCACATTGCTAATTATTTGCTTCACTTCATGCTCTAAAGACAGCTAACAATCTTTCTGCTACCCTAATGCATTCTTGTATTTGATTTGATATTTGTCAATTGGACTAAGAAATTGTAAATCACAGTAGTTGTCTTTTAGATCACTAGTTTAAAAATCTTTCCTGTAATCTACTTTGGATGCCTCTTTCGATTAAAGTCCTATTTAGAGGGGCGCCTGGGTGGCTCAGTTGGTTAGGCATCCAACTTCGGCTCAGGTCATTATCTCATCCTCGGTGAGTTCAAGCCCCGCGTCGGGCTCTGTGCTGACAGCTCAGCGCCCGGAGCCTGCTTTGGATTCTGTGTCTCCCTCCCTGCTCTTGCTCTGTCTCTCTCTGTCTCAAAAATAAATTAAAAAAAAAAAAACATTTAAAAAATTTAAAGTAATATTTAGAAACACACAGACTCCCCTTTTACTGCACTAACAACATCATGAGGTGTTCACAGCTTGAGAGCAAGTTTTAGAAATCTCAGGTGGGGTCTTCCCGCTCAAATCAACGATGTGTCCCTTACTCCCATTCTAAGCACAAGACACCGAAAGTAAACCACCTCCCTCTCATCTCCCAGGAAGTTAGTAAACTTCTCCAGTAAGATGAACCATCCCTGTACCCTCCTTGCTTCCAAAAATGGGATGAGACTCAAAGTCCATAAAGGTAGTTACACCAAAGAAGAAGGAAAAGCCCAAGGAATTGTGCCCAAGAAGGGACACTGTACAGAGTGGCGTGGAGGAGAAGGAAACTTCTAACAGATATTTCAAATAAAATTCATCATTTTTCCTGACTGTTCATATGTAGTTGTTTTTTAGAAACCCAATATTAAAAAGATTTTTGTGAAAATAAACAGAAATTTAAGGTATCTGAAATTTAAGGCTTCCTGTTACATTGGAGTATAAATCTCAGATTACTTGAAGATAAGTACAAAAGTTCTAGGATCTTTAGAATCCTCAGATAAAAACATTGTCTGAAAACATTCTGGACTTCAGTCTTGAGTAGGAACTAAATTTTAAGAGATCCTCGTTCAGAGATGAAAAGGACACGAAGGGAAAAGGTAATAACGGGGCCCCTCAAACTGCTTAAAATACCAACAGAAAACCCAGTCCAGCCTCTGTCCTGCCTCTCACCCCACATGCCAATTATGATGGCACCCGCCTTTGTCCTCACCCTTGACAACTCAATTCCAAACACCAAGTCCAACCCTGAAACTACCGCAGGGAAAAATAAACGGTGCAGAGCAACCCAAGCACGTCACAACCCTCCCTGCCAAAAAGCCTCGAGATCAGTGCCTGATCTTTACATGGACTCAGGTAGGATTCACATCCATCTGACAGAGCAATTTAGTTCAGGGACCATCCACCATTCTTCCTTCCGTGGCTCCTGGTCTCTCGCATGAGCTCACAGAACTGTTTTTGTTTCCGAAGATGGTAGGAAATGAATCCCACAGGCCTGGCTCTCTATACACCCTAGGGATTCAAGCAAACCTTTGGAAAATGCCAGTCGTCTCCACATCTAGGGTCTGGGGTTGCAGCCCCAAATGCCCAGATGCTGTCCAGGTCATGGGGAGAGGAGCCTCCCTGGGGGCCCTCCCCACCTTCTGGGCTTGCTCTTCAGCCCTGGTCCTCCATAAAACCCCATCTGCAGACCCTTCCCTGGGACCTTCGCCCCTGCCCAGTGAAGAGGGGGACCTCCAGCAGGCAGGGGTCCTGCCTCTCCTGCTGCAAAGGAGATAGGCGCACATCTGAATGGTAGACTCTTTAAGAAACAGTAATTCGTCTTAGAGAAGCCTGGCCTGGGAACTTGGCATGCTTTGCACATAAAGCAGCCAGCTAAGAGACACCGCGGACGCACGGGTGGAGCGAGAACACCAGTGCAGAGGCAGAGCGGGCTAGGTGACCACAAGCCCCGAGACAGAGAACTCACGGAGCACATGACCGAGTGCTCCCGGAGACGCGGAGCCAGCGCACATTGTTGCTTGGTGCCCTGCGCTTTTGCAACAGCCGCCGCGCTCCACTCCAGTCGCCAGTGGGTATGAGCGGAACGCTAGAAAAATGAACCATAGTGCTTCTATTACTTTGTTTATAAAAACCAAAAAACATAGCTCTGATAGCTCATAAGGCTTCCACGGCAGAAGCTGAATTGAAACTTCAGAAGAATTAAGCCCCGCCCACTCCAGGAAATATCCCCTGAATGGAGTCTGGGGACCTGCCAGCCACTTGTGTCAGTCATTTCCTGTTCTGCCCACAAACCAGGTAGTGCTCTGTGCCCCGAGCTCTGACTGTCCCCTCCTCCTAACACAAAGAAAGAAGCGCAAATCAGAAATCAGAAGGCTGTGGAATCTACTCCCCACACTCGCAGAGAAATGGGCAAAACGTTGATTCAATTTAGCCCAGGCTCAGGGAGTCTAGTATTTTCTGTTTTATTTTCCTAATAAAATAGCGTTTTTGTGATAATACATTATGGTTTCATTGTGCACGTCCTAAAGAATGTTGTCTTTTTTAAACATCCTGTGGCACAGAGGTGCAGATCTGATTTTCGGGACTTTATCCTTTTGTATTTTTGTTAACAAGTACAACTTGGATAGAAAATGACACTCTGTGTGTATGACCGTGTGTGTGTGTGTGTGTGTGTGTGTGTGTGTGTGTACGTGTGTGTGTGTGCATACACAGAGTATGCTAAAGACTTGACACACAGCGATGCATTCACTGCCTACAAAAGCCTTAAGGGTGGGATTCTCATCCACCCACACAGGTGAGGAGCCTGGGTCTTGGGTAGGTTATAACCAAAGGACTTCAGGACCTGTCATGGTCTCACAAGCTGCATCATCGCTGGGCCAGATGGCTGCCTCTGGACCTCACCACACCCCCTCCACACCTGTGAGAAAGAGCCAGGTCTACCTTCCTAAGACCCCTTCCCCCATTCAGTTCAAGCCTGGAGTTTGGCCAAAGACAGATCCTGAGTGGACGAGAGGCCCCTTCTGGGAGCATTGCCTGCTTTCCAGCTCTTCCCTGGCACTGTCTCATTCCCCTTGGGACCCTTTCCAAAGATGCACCCTGGTTAGATAAGAGCTGCAGCTAGATCCCCAGAAATGCACACAACCAGGGTCGAGCAGGGAAGAGGTGCCAGCAGGGGTGGAGCTGAGGAAGAAGGTCGCCAGGCCAGGCGCCCAGTCACTGTCTCAAAGGCAGGAGGCATAATCCTGCTCCGTAGATGGTAAAGCCGGGAGCACATGCAGTCAGCCCAGGGCCAACAGCCTACAAATGTCAGCGGAGATTCAAGCCCCGTGCTCCCAGGCTCTCTCACAAGCAGGTGCTCCTTGGCCCCCAGGAATGTGCCCCTCTCGAGGAGGGACTGGTGGGGGTCGCTGTCTGGAGGTGAGACAGATGGCCGCAGGATTTCAGGGCGAATGGGGCTGGGGTGTGCACGGAGAAAGCCGTTTGCCACAAGGGCCATAAAGGGAAGAATCTGAGCCTGCAGAAAAGACATTGTTGGCGTTCCTTCCCAAAGAACATCCACGGCAGCCGCAGAAGCGGTGGGCACTGATGCCAGGTCGGAGGGTCTCTGACGTGACTCGGTACCGGGTCTCCAGCCTGAGGGCAGGCTGCAGGAAGGTCTGAAGGCTGGCCTTGACCCGGCACCCCCGAGGGGGTGGGACTGCAGAGCCGGCCACTAACGCCAGGCGTGGCCTCTGTGTGAGCACCGCACCTGTCTTCCAGGAGCAGATGCCAACAGGGACTCTGTCTCTTCCACCGTGAAAAGGCAGCCTGACTTTAAATGTCCCTGCTGCCAGCATCCCAGAAGACAGGAGGTGGGGTAACACGCCATCACGGACTCCACTGACCGAGTGTCTGAGTCCAGGTAAGTATCTGCTTGTCCATCTGCTCGGATGCCTCTGCTCTTTGCTCTATGTGTGCACCTGTGTTTTTGCCTGCCTTCCTTTCTCATATTTTATACTTCCCCTTTGCTGCTATCTGACCATATTATATGACCACGGTGTATTTTTATTAGTTTTAGCTTGGTCTTTGTTCCCTATTCTTAATTTAAACTTATGATGACTAGCACACTCAATTTGCTTTGCAAAAAGCAAACAAAAGGAAGTAGCTTTTTATTACAAGCTCTAATTGATTTTCCCTGCAGCGCGCTCGGGAGGCAAGAAGCTCCCTCGCCTCCAACACGCAGCCCATGACGAAGACGACGTGGCTCCTTGTCCCTTCTATGTCTGCACAACCTGACCGAAGGTAACTTTCCTGAGAGGAGCCCACTGGCCACACCCCAGGGCCCTGGGTCCTCCAGCAAAGGGGGGAACCCATGTCCTGGTCCAGGTAACGTGTGGGAGCACAGGTGACTGGGGATTGCAAAGCAGATAGAAGGAGACCCAGAGAATCCCGGCTTCTGATAATGCTGTCCAGTAAAAGACACTTCCAAGCTCTGTGTGCAAAAACAGCACGTCTGATGGCATTAAAAAAAAAAAAAGCCAATTGAATAAGATACCCTGAGGCCACTGGCAATACTGAGAGATCAGGAATCAATAGATTTCCTTGTGATTATACATCTTCCAAGAATATCATTACAAGAGAACTCACGGACAAAAATCCACAAAGCATTAGCTTGGTGACGGTTGCCCAAATATTCGGCCTTGATGAACAATTTACAATAATGTTTTCAAATGGGACACTAACTCCAAAAACCAGCCATTGGTCTATCCCGGAGGAGGGGGAATGGGAGCACATTATCTCACTTCATGACTTACTTCTCTTCAGCAGGAAACTACAAAACGTTGAACCATAGTAGAAGGTAATGGGACAAGGGTGCCTGGGTGGCTCAGTCAGTTGAGCATCTGACTTTGGCTCACTTTGTGAGTTCAAGCCCTGCATCAGGCTCTGTGCTGACAGCCTGGAGCCTGCTTTGGATTCTGTGTCTCCCTCTCTTTCTGTCCCTCCCCCACTCAAGCTCTCTCTCTCTCTCTCTCTCTCTCTCTCTCTCAAAAACAAATAAACATTAACAAAATAATTTTTAAGGTAACGGGACAGATGATACTTGATGCCATGAAGATCAGCTTGGGGCAGCTTTCTGAAATGCCCTTAGGGGAAACTTTATTTTACATTTCACAAAGCTAGGTATGTTATGTCGTTCCTGTTATAGGATAAAGCATCAGATTTTAAATACCGTCTGTTTGTCGCGGGGTGCTCCTGACAGAGCAGATCTTGTGACACACTGGCCCCTACTATGAGGACCATCGGAGCTCCGTTCTTTCCTCCTTCCCTGTTTCTAACCCAAATACCCGTCCCCTGGACCAGTCTCCAGCTTTATATGTTTTCCTCCAGGGACTCGTTACCAATCTCTGCCTTACAGTGGAGCCACTGAATTGCTGAGCCAGCAGGCGTCCTGGGAATCGCCGTCTGATGCCTTCGGTTGCAGGTAGAGAAGGACACCTGAGTGCCTGAGACACAAAGTGACCAGTCAAGGCCACACGGCTGGTTAATGTCAGGAAGCGTCAGTGACAAAACGTCCCCATCCCCGTGCTTCTCAAATGCTTGCTCTCTGGGATCGTTTCCAGAGATGCTCGAATGTTCTACTGACTCCTAAGAAATCCACGTATATTTGGAGTGTACATCTCAAAGAAATGGGGGTATTTGAGGTAACGTTCATAGTGCGCTAAACCCCAGAAAGGTTCCCAGAAACAATAGTTTCCTGCGGAAAAGCACTTCCTCTGCCTGAAGAAGGCTGGGGCGCCTAACGTGACACCAGGCAAGAAGCCACCCAACACCGGGGCCGTGCCGGAGAGCCGGCTGTGCATGAGCCATTGGCTGCTTCAGAGACCAGAGACCACAGCTCGCTTCTTTAGGCCGGCCACATAGACCCTCTGCCTCCGTAGTCTCTTTCCTCGGTTTTCCATTCAATAAATACAGATATCTTAGACTCCCACTCTCCTGCCGACGGTGTTTCGGCACATGACACTGCCACTCGGGTCGCCTTCCCGAGGCGTGGCGCTGGGCTGTGCAGGCTCCTTCGTGGCGCCCGCGGGGAACGTAACCCCAGGTACTCAATCCTGGGCAGCAGCACCGGGGTGGACGTGTCCGCGGTGGACTCTTGACTGGCTCTGGATCGCTCCCCTTTGCTGCCCACGCTCCGGAGACCTGCCTGGCGACCTGGCTTAAGTGGGCACTTGTGTCGTGGGATTCCCAAGTACTGTGCGTGCCTTCCACTAATAAAATAGGTTTCGTGCTAACAGGAGATGGTGCAGTTCACCGACCTGTCATTTTGCTTGTGTCCTCGAGGCCCTTACATTTCACTTGAGGTGCGAAACTGTCCGTTAGAAGGAAAATTTCTTTTTCATTCGTAAGGCTGATCGTGAACAGGTTCTAAGTATGTGCAAAAACCCCATTAAAGCAAAGAGGTGACTATGAAAAGAATGTCTGTATACAGGGGGAAGAGAAGCCACGATCACTAGTTTTGTCTTTGGCTGTTTCAGACTGGCTCCTTTCTGACGCCTGCTGGGACGTCTTCATGTTTGGTAGAATTTCTCGCCTCTGGGCAAATCCAGGAGTGCGGCGGCTGGATGTTCTGGTAAGAGGATGTCCCACTCTGTGAGCACTGTCCTCCCCAGCATCTGTGCCGGGTCTGTGCTCCCGCCAGCCGTGACGGGGGCTCCGCCCACTCCTGTCTTCGCCAGCATTTGGTGCTATGCTCTCTCCTGTCCATGCTTCCGTCTCCCCGTCGGTGACCTGAGCATCTCTGAGGCCCCCAGGGCCGCATCCGTGAGCCTGTGTTGTGTTCGTCACCTCAGACTGTTTCATGGCGCCCCCACGGGGCACGTTTGCTGCCTGTTAGCAATGGTGAGGGTGGTCTGGGGACCACTGTGGGACGAACTGTGTCCCCCCGCCCCGGCACATCGGACGGTGGCTGCCCTCAGAGGTAGGGCCTTCAAAGAGGTAATTAGGGCAAACTGAGTTCACCTGGGCTGGACTTAATCCAGTATGACTGGTATCCTCAAGAAGGGCAGCTGAGGACACAGGACAGGGGGACGGCCACACGAGGACACAGGAAGAAGGCAGCTGTCTGCAAACCATGGACGGAAGCCTCGGAATGAAGCAGGCCTGCCGGCACCTGGACCTGGGGGCTCCCGCCCAAGGGTCGCTGTGTGGTCAAAGGCTGCAAGTTGCTGACGTCTGGCCCCTGGGCAGCCAGTCCTGTCTCTGCATGACAGTGACCCCAACCTCCATGGTGCCGGGCACGTTGCACAGTGCTTTGTCTGCTGAGCCCTCACAAGGCCAGCCAGGCCTGTTTGAAACAGCAAACGTAACAGTGACAGTTACCTCCCTTGTACTCTTTGCCAGAACCTTCCAGGGCACTGAGGACTTAGGGCTCTCCGAAGCTCCCGGGCCTGAAGCTCTCAGAAACAGGCCACGGTTGTGCTGGACGCGGACCAAAGCTCCCGCCTGTCTGCCCGGCAGTCAGTCACCTCCTGCAGCATCTCGGCTGGGCCCGGTCACCCTCCTTTCTGCTCTGGCCCGGGGCCCGGGGACGGGGGCCGTGCTCACAGCTGGGCACCCTCAGGCCGATCGCCACCAGAACGGGGGACGGTCTCAGAACTGATGTCTGCAGTCTGGCTGGGTCCTCGTCGTGCTCGAGGAGACAGAGAGGACACAGTCCTGCACACAGGACGGGGACACTTTCCTGGACTTGTCTGCTAGAATGCCTCCTTTTTGCAGCCGCAGCGTTTGAGAAATGACAGCTCAGAAGCTCCAGTGCCTTCCAGAAACACCAGCCTCAGAACGGGAGGGGCCGGACCAGCCTCAGAGAGGGGTGCCCAGGGCCAGGAGCCGAGGTGGCGCTCTATCCCCCCGCTTTGTGGGGCACGTCTTGTCCCCCTCCACCTGCCTCCCCCCACCCCACACACACACACAGTCACTGTAGACACTACTCATTTCCACACACCTTATCATGAACGTCGTCAGACCCCGGAAACATGGAAGGCATTACACGGCGCATTACACCTGTGCTCACCGCCCGGAGTCCGCAAGTCCTAATTTCTCACACCGTGATCCACCCACCCTCTCTAGCCCTGCGTCCACTCTCCTGTTTGTTACGTATTTCAAAGCAGGTTTCGGACGTGAGCGCACCTGCTCCTGGACGCTCGTACCTGTGCATCCTTCGCCAGAGTTCGGTGTCCGTTTACGGCTCTGCTTCAAACCCCACCTTTTGAACGTAATGATGTAGGGGGTGATTTTTTCCTTTCAAATCTCACAACGCTGCTGAGGACGACGGGAAGTGCTCCCGAGAGGAGGAAAATTGGGGCTGGAGCTCCTGTCTGTGGCAGGAACGCTTCCTGTTCGGCGTTCACACAAGCAGGCTGGGAACTGAATCAGATGCAGGGGATGCGATCCTCCTTAGCATACCTGAGGGGAAGAGGTCAGAGTCCAGGAGGCCCCGGGGACCGGCCCAGGGCAAGAAGTTCTGTGCAGCTGGGGCCCCAGCCCTGTGTGTCTGCCCCCAGCTCCTTCCTGAAGCTTTCTTCCCTCTGATGCTTCCCTCTGCTCCCCATCACCCCCCACCCTCATCCATCTCTCTCTGTATCTCTCTCTCTGTGTGTCTCTCTTTTTCCATCTGTCTCTCTCTATCTTTGTCTCTTTCTTCCTCTCTCCCTCCTTCTGTCTCACTCCATGTCTCTGTCTCTCTGTGTCTCTTCTCTCTGTCTTTCTCTGTCTCTCTGTTCCTCACTCCCCTGCCCCTGTCTCTCTTCCCTCCCTCTGTCTGTCTCTTTCTGTCTCTCCGTGTCTGTGTCTCTGTGTCTCTCCTTCCCTCCCTCTGTCTCTCTCTCTCTGTATCTTTCTGTGGCTCTTTCTGTCTCTCTTCCTCCCCCCTCCCCCGCCCGAGTGTGACTTACTCCCTGCACTGTCCCGGACCCTTGTGCCCCATGAACTGGCATCTGACACCTCAATGGTAACACAAAAACGTAAGTCGAACCAAGACAAGAACACAGAGAATGAAGTAATTGGGGGATTTCTGTGCGAATTTAAGATTTGGCACCAGAAACAATGAAATCTGAGAAAGTGACTTCACTAGATAGTAATTTTGCTTTAGGGAAACCACAATAGCAACAGGGCTCGTGAAATCCTCTGTGGGCTCTCACCGGTGTCATGACACGAGCCGTGTGGAAAGGACCCCGGTCGAGGTGCCCATAAGCCTGCAAACAGAGGGGCAGTGGGACCCTACGGCCCCTTGTTTCTGGGCTCCCTGTGCCTGGGGAAGAAGCCCACCACCCACAGGTGACTATTCTTGGAAGAACCTCCCGCGGAGCCACAGGGAGTCACTGTCCCCTCTCTCCCCTCCTCCTGGAGGGCCCTCTGGGACTAACGGCGTGATGCCCGGCTCTATGGGGTCTTCTGGCACCTTCCAGGAGGCAGAGCTGCTCTTGTGACCATGCCACCCCCCCAGCGTGCTCACCTGTCCGCACTGGCTCCTGGGGCCCCGTGGGGTACACCCCCCCCCCACCAGACACCGTGGGGCCCTGGCGGCCTCAGCCTCAGCCCCTGGAGACGTGCCTTGGGCCGCTCACTCACTTGAGGCCTCTCCCCTAATCACCCCACGTCCCCCCCTGCACCCCCAACCCCACGGCCATGCTTGAGGCCCCGCCAGGGCTGGGGACACTGCACCAGAGACAGCGGGAATTATTCTGGTTCTCCAGAGCCCTGGGAGTGTCTTATCACCCAGCCGCCTCCTTCCTGCCAGGGAATCCCTCAGGCACGGCTGTCTCTGGGGGCCATGACCAGGTCATCCCTTACCGCCAGGCAGCCCCTCAACGCCCTGTCCCCAGTGGTCCCAGCTGCCCCACAGAGTCCCAGCAGGCCTGTGTGTGTGTGTGTGTGTGTGTGTGTGTGTGTGCTCTGCCATACGCCGAAGCAAGCATGGCCACCAGAAATTCAAGGCCATCAGCGTCGGCCGGAACCCCCTGTGAGGAGCAGGTCCGAGAACCTCCACGCGGGCACTGACTTAGGAACTTGAGCGGCTTGGGGACCGGGGCAGAGGTCACATGGCAGTGAGCCGATCTCACGAGCCGGGCGCTACACTGCCCGTTACTAAGTGCCCTCTGGCACGGCCCCTGGGTCCGGCTGCCCGTCCCTGCTCACATGTTAGAGCCCCCAGCCCCCTCCGCGGTGCTCTTCCTGGACGGCCTGCTCTTGCATTCCCGCTGAGAGGGACTGTCCACTTAGCTCCCACGTCAGAGAAAGAGCCCGCCGTCACCACCCTTGTCAGACACCATCCTGCAGGCATTAAAATACCACGTTTACATTCGACTTCCCTTGCTTCTATCTGTCTGACTTCCAGACATAGGCCTCGGGGCGGAGGGGAGGCACGCCGGCCATGTGTGCCTCACCTGTACTCGCCCAGCACCTGGCCTAGCGCCCGTCCCTGGCAGGCACTTGTGAAACACGTGTTGGAAAGGGGCCCCGGGGTGGCTCCTTCAGTTGAGTGTCCAGCTCTTGATTTGGGCTCAGATCATCATCTCCAAGTCGTGGGATCAAGCCCCGTGTGGGGCTCAGTGCAGAGTGGGGAGTCTGCTTGGGATTCTCTCTCCCTCTCTCTCTCTGCTCCCCGCCTACTTCCTTGCTCTCTCTCTCTCTCAAAATAATAATAAATAAACTTTAAACAACATTTAAAAAAAAAAAAAAGAATGGTAAAAAAGAAAAAGCAACAGTACTGATCACTGACAGACCACGGGTATGGCTACACCCTCCACCCGTCTCCTCCTGTCACCCCAGCACAGCACACAGGTGAGCCTGCCCCATGGCCCGCCATCTCCAGCTGGAGCAGAGGCACCATCGCGTTGTGGCGTCCAGAATCCTGCCCCCACGCTCCCTCCTCTGGGTTTTCTGGCAGGACCCCGAAACTGGGGAATCACAG